GCTGTATAATCGTGCGTTGAAGATATCGAGGTTACGTCTGTGAGAGAGTGCAGAAGGAGCGCGGATGTCGTTAGGTAAGCTGGGCATAATAAAATATTGTTCGCCAAAAAAGGGCGACTCAAAAATTTATTGATTTCTTTCCCTTCTGTTTTTTGTTACAAATTGTATCCTGCTAGCATTATATAAATTCTGTAGGCAAAAGATGTTACAGGCAACAAAATTCAAATAAAATGGTATCTTCCACACAAGACACCCGAGCTGTAGACCCATGCTGAATTTGAAAAAAAAGCCTACCTATCCTACCAAAACTTCTTCAGCTGGGCTCGGAGTGAGGGAAACAAGATATTTTTTTTTAATTGTGGCGCTGTGCGTCTGACGTGTATGTACATTCTGTTTGTTTTTTGGACCTGTCAAGAACGGCTCTTGTGTTGAGACAAGAATTTTTGGACTAGGTTCCATTTACCGATTTAAAAAGCCAACGTCTAGGACATCCTTGCTTAGTCACTACGTGTGCGTTCCGCATACTTCAATCCAGTAAAGGCGCGCGAAAAAAAAAAAAACGAAAGTGACTGATAAGGTGTCATTCTCAAAAATGAGCAATTTCATTGCTTGCATGCAAACATCACTACTGCTACTTACACCGGCTGACAGTATAACTGATAGTATTAATATATTATAATATTACCACGATAATTAAAATAATAGTATAATCAGATTATAATTAGTTTTTTATTTTTTTATTTGCTGCAGGCTTCCGCGGGCCGCACAGAACCCCGTAGAGGGCCGCATGCGGGCCGCGGGCCGCAGTTTGCACACCCCTGACCTAGGCTATTTGTGATAAAAGGCCATTTTATACGATAGTTTTAAGGAAACCTTTCCACTGTGCTATTCTATTAAAACTTTAGATTGAACAAATGCGCACATATTTCCAAGCCAATATGATCATTTCAGGGATGGTTATAGTAGTAGCAGTCCTACAGCAACATTATATAGAAACAAAGTCCCTCGTTGTATAAACTTTCAACTTCACTCACACGTACGTCTTCACATCAAACCGCAAGCAAGCTGCATATACAAGTGGAACAACTCGGCAACATATTTACACACGCGTAAAAATCACACGTTTCAATAGATTATCAATGATTTTGACCACAGAGAGGGTCAAGCCGATTCCCCACACATAACGAACGCTCTACTCCCACCTCTGGTCCTTATTATAACCCATAAGCACGCCACATATCAATTTCCTTTCATTACTTAATAGCACTAGGATATCCTTTCCTTCCTGACACTACTGGGAGCATATCAGGCAACAGCTCAGCTAATAGCCACACATCATATAAAGCACACACATATGTAGTGTCGATACATCTTAGCGATACATCGTGGCGAAGATCAGAAGATTTAGTTATAGTGTTTATGAAACGGGTTCGAATCTCGGGTGCCGACGACGCTTCGAGTTACAGATACGTTGTGAAGTCTTCTATGTTGCGAATGCTGCTCTGGCTGCCCGCACCAGCTTCTCCCGATGGCTTTGCTTGACTAGGGAATCCTTCCTGAAGCACCTTGCTACGGATGCGCTTGATTTGTCTCAGCCTTTCCAACCACTTGGACGCGTAGATGTCATGGTGGGACAATTGCTGACTCTGTAGTGTTAATGCAGGGTGCTCAGTACAAACTAGCAACACAGCATTCGCACACAATCTGTGTGAAGTATGTTGATACAATTGCAGACCAGCCAACCTGTCATTTATTAAAATAGTAAGGCTTTTCTTTTCTTGCAGCAGGCGGTTATTTTTTTTGTATGTTATGCGTGCAATGAATGATGGTACTAACTCTAGATCACGCGAAAACAACGTGAACGCGAGATCGAAAAACGCTGCGCCCACAATCGCCAGATATTTCTCGGCTCACAATGTAAAAAACACATTAATTTAAAAAAACACATAAGTCGTAAAAAATCGTAAGTTTTTCAGTTTGATCGTACATTCGTAAAAACATCTTGGAATTAGTAAGGAATACGAAAAAATCGCAAGGGTTGGCAGGTCTGCAATTGTCTGGGGAAGGGTAGGGAGCATGCTCGCTCTACCTACGTAAACCATCGCTCTGCATCACAGACACCTGCTGCAGAGCAAAGGCGTAAACAGGTAGAGCTGACAACATTCACGCTACCTTACTATATTATATATGCTGTACTGTATGTTACCTACTATGCTTACTGTATGTACCATGCTGTTACCTTATCACGTCTCCTATAAAGCCCCCCCCCCCCCTGAAATAGTCATTTCATTGATACATTTACAGTTTAATGTTCCCGAGTGTGTGGCTAGCAGCTGATGACATAGCGGACACGCAGACACTGACGATGGACAAATATTCATGGCATGGCATTGTGAACTCTATCTCGGATGCGTCCGCCGAGTAGTAGAGACTGAGTGGCTAGCAGGTGTAAAACATGTCTGCTGCACAGTTTACCTGGTATACTTTAGAGGCAAGATCAGCGTGTAGGGCAAGCTGGCGGGCGAGTATGGGTAGATGCCGATCTGAAATAATCTTCGGTTCTCCGTGGCCAATCTCAGACAATTCTATAACGAAATAAAAACTGTTGTTATATATTTAACTATATATATATACAGATTTGATTGTAGTTACTTAAACCAGTATATATCCATAAACTGATTTTAGTACCTACCGTATATGATCGCGTAATACCCGCGGGCGCCTATAAGCCGCACCTCAATTTGAACCGGGTAACCAAGTATTGCACCTAGTATATTTCCCCTCACGGTATGGCGCACTTACAAACCGCAGAGCAAATACAGGGTTGAAATCTGAGGCCAAATTTGCGGTTATTACGCGAGTATATATGGTACATTAAAACCTGTATATAAGAGCATCATTTGAGTGAAATACCGAGTGTCGTTTATGGAAATCGGCTTCTATAAAGGCGACTATTAGCACTGTTAGTACAGGTTTGACAGTATTCAGTAGAAAATACTTCATATGCTGGTATGCACGTGCAGTGTAATAATTTATCTAAGAATGTGACTAATGTCTATGGATACCAACACGAATATATCTATACAACTGTACAAGTTTAACTATATATATATATATATATATATATTCATGATACCAGTAATATTCTATACAAGTAGTATGTTATAATACCTTCTTTTGCACAGACAGACACCATGTTGCTCTCATGATCAAGGGGCTTGATAATGATGCTTACAAACCTGAACTGGCCCTAGAGAAAAGAAAATGTTTGTACATTTACAATGACATATAATGTTGATTTTTTCTCATTATCATCTCACCTCAACAGAAAAAGAAATGCATGCTGTGTGGACACCATGATTAAAATACAACTACAACTAAAGAACGAGATATTATAGAAAATCAGGGCGTATATTAGTAAGAGGCATCAGAATTGTTGATATCAATCAATCTGCATAACTTATATGACTCCACTAATATGGCACCATTCTCTCTGCTTTCACAGTGTGAAACAGCAAGACCTGCCAATTATTTTAAGGATAAGGGAAAAACAAAGGGTTGCATTGGTTACAGCTGATAATCAATAACTAAAGACTTCCCAAATCACTCCTAACACACTCTCTCAGCGTATTAAGACACTCCGCGTACCCGTATAGTTCCAGTCTTGTAGGGCTCATTGCTGTCATTGTAGACTATAGAGACAAAGTTGTTGCCTATGTGGAGCTTCTTGCCATTGCACGACACATCCGATGCTTTATTCGGCATCAGTGTCGCCACATGGAAGATAGCTGCAGTGATAAAACCATTAAACATGCATGGTCATCAGTAGCAAGCAGTAGGAATTGGGTCGGTTTATAGAGCCGATTACATAAGAGCTTGTCAACTTCCATCTTTGTTCTTATATCTAATACCCTGCATGACATCAAATACCCTACATTATGTCAAATACCTTATGCGATGTCAAATATTCTACATGATGCCAATACCCTACATGATGTCAAATACCTTACATGATGTCAAATAGCTTACATGATGTCAAATACCCTACATGATGTCAATACCCTGCATGACATCAAATACCCTACATTATGTCAAATACCTTATGCGATGTCAAATACCTTCAATGATGTCAGATACCCTACATGATGTCAAATACCTTACATGATGTCAAATAGCTTACAATATGTCAAATACCCTACATGATGTCAATACCCTGCATGACATCAAATACCCTACATTATGTCAAATACCTTATGTGATGTCAAATACCTTCAATGATGTCAGATACCCTACATGATGTCAAATACCCTACATGATGTCAAATACCTTACATGTTGTCAAATATTCTACATGATGTCAAATACCTTCAATGATGTCAGATACCCTACATGATGTCAAATACCTGAAATGTAAAGCTTTGATCGTCGTGCAGGCTGCCCATGCGAACTGAGGACGTGCGCAAGCTTGAGGATGCGCCCGCGGTGGCCACACTGTGTCCGTGATGGGAGGTCGCAGGCCCTTACCAGATGGCAAGACTCATGGAGAAGCTCCAAATGGCCGCCACCTAGTGCAACCGACTCAAACCAAGCGGAATATACCCAGCGTTGAGCATCCCTGTCGCATTCATCGCCGCATTATCGTGATATATAATTTAGTTTATGTGGCCGGTATTAAGTATTTATCGTGACGCGCTGTGGCGCTATTTTGTACAGAGTTTGCTGTCCGGCATCTCCATCGATTAATTAATAAATCGTAAAAATTGAATTATAAAGAATGAAAAAAATCGTAAAATTAAAATGAAAATCCGTGATTTTGTTCGTGACCGCCATGTTTCCCTTGCAGATTTGGTCTTGCCTGCCGCTGTAACCACAGCGCGTATTTTATGGACTACAATGCGCGCCCTCTACTGCTGCCTCCACGGCGCGACGTGAATAATGCCGCCCAGTGAAGAACCTTGATCGCAATACCGCCCTATCGAGACGCCCAAAGTCGAGTGCTGTACGTGGAGCAGGTCAGGTGCGTAGAAATTACACATCGCTACAGTTAAACACATGACTGAAATCTCAGAAACATTCTCGAACCAACAAAATTGCCTTAGCACTAAACAGAGTGAATAATGAAAATCAGCGATAATTTTATTTGCGTGTGGTTTCGATCCGTGATCTCTGTGATAAGCAATTCTGACAATTAAACCACAGGCCACGTTAATCATGCGTGGTCTAATAAACATGCTCTGTAAAAAATAACCACAGTGATAAATTAAAGATATGGTAAGAACAATGAGAGTAAATACATGATTAATTTAGAATAAATATATAATAAGATAATTTATAGTTATATATATCTATAATTATAAGTTATATATATTATAAATTAAGTATTGATATAAATAATTACTAACTAGTTTGGTTTTCTGTAACTGTCTTTTGAAGGTGAACGATGAGGCGGCCATCTTGTCTAACGGAGTACGTGCTCGTCTGCGTTACCCAAATTCCTCAAGACTCGGTGAGCTGACGCTCTGAGACGTACGAACCCCATCACATCATTCCTCGCGGTCTTCGAACGATGGAACGACGGGCCGAGTTGTCCTAACAGCTGGCGTGCTGACATCACGGCAAGGTACGCCGCGTGACGTCCTGCCGGTGGTGTGATGGCATGGCGGCGTACATGTGACATCATGTAGGGTACGCGCAGTGACGTCCCTGCCGGGTTGTGTGATAGCATGCCGGGGTAGCATGTGACATCCTGTAGGTACGCAGCGTGACGTCCTGGCGGGTGTGTGATAGCATGCGGTACATGTGACATCATGTAGGGTAACTCGCGTGACGCATGTGCCGGGTGTGTGTAAGCATGCGGGTACATGTTACATCAGTAGGTAGCGCGCGTGACGTCATGCCCGGCTGTGTGATAGCATGCGGGGTACATGTGATCATCATTAGGGAACGCGCCGGTTGACGTCCTGCCGGGTGGTGTGATAGCCACATGCGGCGGTACATGTGACAGGTCACGCATAGGTACCGCGTGTGACGTCCTGACCGGGTGCGTGCATAGCTGTGGGGTACGATGTTGATCATCCATTAAGGTACATGTGACGTCAGTGTAAGCTATTTGACATCATGTAGAGTATTTGAACATCATGTAAAGCTATTCACATCAATGTAAAGTTATGTGAACAATTCATGTAAGTATTTGACCATGCATGTAGGGTATTCTGACATCATTGA